TACCTATTCAGAATCAGTTTCAACCAGCTGTTTTTTCCTGAATAGAGATCACACTTTTCTTTTTTCTTCGTGTGTCTTCTTTTTTGTTGAAAACTATACATTAAAGTAATAATAATAATAATGGGAGAACTCCATATCTGGTGAAGTTTTTTAAGTTTTTTTTTTTAATTTTGGTAACTATCCATATTTAAATTATAAAATCGGTTTCCTCTTGATATCCCTGCTCAAGTTTCTATTATAATTCTTATGCCTTTAGTTTGGTTTCCACAGAGTTGCCTTGCATTGACAAAGTCCTTTGATTGGTCCATCAATGAATTTGACAAAAATTGTGCTCAAATTCCTCCAGCCCACCAGGCTTCCACTTGTACATATAAATGTTGGGTAGGGGCAGAGGGGTGGTTACAGGGTGCATTCAAAGGTGCAGATAGTAATGGGGTCTCCTTTGGCTTTTATTTTCCAGTAGGCTCTCTGAAGTCTCTTCACTCACCTGTGCATTTTCCCAGGTAGCCCAGGATGGGTAGACAACTGCTTTCAGCTCTTCTATGACTCCCTAATTTCCAGAATCTCCATGTTAAATGTCTCTCTGGGCTACCACCCACCCTAAATGGAATTTGCAAACCCAAGCTAACCAAGCTGCAGTTTTTCTCTGTTTCCTACCAGGTGTGTGCCTGTTAACTAACAAAGCGTACGATCTTTACGCTCAGACCTAACTTAAGTCTGCCCCTTCTGGAAGAAAAGCTGCTGTTTGTTGTAGCCAACTCCAAAATGCGAAAATTACTTTCTCACTGGCCATGCTGGGCAAGGGGATAGAAGGATCCCCAGGCAAGAAGGCTAAAGACTCCTGCTATTTTTACTGAACTTCTAGCACTTCTTCAAGAAGAAATGCGTCTCAATGGCATGTTTTCCTTTGGTCCTGAAATGGTGGTTTTAATACATATGCTCAGTCTTATACATGTTTTCAGCCACCAGAACCTCAATCCAAGCCTTGCCCCATTTTTGATACTTACCTTTTCTTTGTTTTAAAAAATATATATGCATTACTGCTCTCTTCCTTATAGCAATGATTTGTTTTTAGTGCTAAAAGTAGACAGAGATTCAAGTCACCCCAGCTTTTATGTAAATGCCTCTTGAGTCCAAAGTGTATTCTATTGGAGAATCCGCAGGAAGTGATCATGGGAGCAATATTCCCTGAGTTCTTACACGTGGCATCAACAGGTTTTATGTAGTCTTTATGTTAAAAGGCTAATTTTGCTGAATATAAAATCCCTAGCTCACATTTTCTTTCCTTGAGTATATCGAATATGGTGCTACATTATTTTCTGGCATAAAGAGTTGCTGTCAGAAGCTAATAATAATCCTATTTTCTTTCCCCATAACTGACTTTTAAAAAATACCATTAGAATAATGTGCTTAATGTCTATTATGAGCCTATTTTCCTACTTGTGCAGTATAATCTTTCAATATGTATTTTCTAATCATCATGCTTTAAGAGATTATACTTGAATTATAATTTTTTAGTATTTTTGTCTGCCTACTGCTTATGTCACTCAGTGTCTTCTATTATACATGCTTTTAATCTTCTTTGCTTATCTTTTTTCTTTTATTTTAAAATGTATTATTTATTAATTTACTTTAAAATTGCCCTTTATTCAATTTAAAAAAAAAAATTTAATGTTTGTTTGAGAGACAGAGAGAGAAGAGCATGAGCATGGGAGGGTCAGAGAGAGGAGACACAGAATCCGAAGCAGGTTCCAGGCGCTGAGCTGTTAGCACAGAGCCCAACGCAGGGGTCAAACTCACAAACCACGAGATCATGACCTGAGCCGAAGCCGGATGCCTAACTGACTGAGCCACCCAGTCGCCTCACCCTTTATTCAATTTTTAACTTTCTTTCACTGCATTAGCTTTTGGGCTAATATGTCCTTGTTTTTCTTGTGGTTTGGTCTTAACTTCTAAAATAAGTTATTTCCAGCTCTTTCCTGAATTCTCTCACCTATCTCTGCTATGCTTCCTTCTCTCCAGTTGATTCATTTACCAGTCTGGCTAAAATTTTTCACAGCTCATATCACTTTTATTACCTCTTTTATCTCATTTTCAATTATTAAGGTATAGTTTTTATTTATTTTGAATTTATCTTTGTCTTATATGCTGTCATTGTTGTGGGGATGTTCTTTTGTTCCCTTTTCTCTCTTTTTTTGTAGTATCTTTACCTGTGATTCTATCCCATCCTTTTCCTATTGCTCACGCTTAAGGTAAATGCATGCTGATTTTTTCCATGGAAGGGTAGGCCAGGCTAGCTTTTCTGGGGTGTTCAGTGTCTCTAGAGCCATATCTTCTGTTATTTTCAAGGGAAATAATATTCCATTGTACTTTCTGAGATACACTTCCTCTCCTCCTATCCCTCACTTTTATCTAAATTGCCTGTTTGCTTTCTCCTATTGGACCTGTCCGGTTTAATTTGGATTCTACTCCCAGGGGATTCTTCTCAGTGGAGGGATATGTCTGAAAAGCACCCTCTGTCCCGGTGCTGACAAGCTTTTCCTTGTTTCCCTCGAAGGCATGGGTAATCTAATGCCTGCAAGCCCCTTTCTCCATTTCTGCTGTTATTCTCAGATTAGTCCACATGTCTTTCTAGTGATTATCTGTTGCTTTTGGAGGGGAATTCCCTAGTTCTGAGGGGCATCAGAAGCCCAGTCAATTTTCCTCTGTTTCTTTCTGCTCAGTTGCTGATACCACAGTGGTTCAGTGATTTGTCCCCACCTGTTAATGGGAATATGTTGTTAATTGGTGTCCCTATAGATACAGCCTGTATGTTTTTACGTTTGCTACTCTAGTTACCTTGTCTGTTTTTATAGGCAGCTTCAGGAATACTAAAAAAGTTAGGTCAGTTGCATTGCCAACTTCCCAGAATCTGGATGAACTTCACAAAAGTTTAATACTTATATATTTGGGTAATGCACATTAAAATATAACTAACATATCAAGTGAATTTCATTAGTATTAGTGCCTAGTTCTAAATTAGATATTAGTGCCTAGTTCACTCTCTGTTTAAAATAAATTTATGTAAGTACAACAATTACAGAAAAAAACATTTATAGTAATTTTAAGAATAAAATTAAATAGTAGTAATGATGTGCAATCCTGGCAAGCAATTTTGGTGGTGGTATACAAATAAATCCATTTGGAAGTAGTGTTATAGCTAAATTGTTTTCACCATAAAGGACAGGCTTTTTTTTTTTTTAATTATGGAGTTGGAATAACGTTTGGAAGCAGTGATGAAGAACAAGGACAGAAGCAATCCCATCTCCTAATCTTGAAGAAATAAGGGTACAAGAAAATAAACAACCACTATTTGAGAATGATACAAGGAAGTTGTGCCCTAATGGGAAGGCCAGGTTTCAGTTTAGGAAGGGAGGAGGAAAGAATTATCAGTAAAGAGGACAGCTACTATTGCTGAGAGATTGGAATATCACCGAGTTCTAAGGGTAGACATAACATTCCAAACTGAGAAATACCCCACTTAAAAAAAA